ATAAAATACTATTAATAATAAAATATATACAATATATTATAATATTGTCATAATATTATATATATTATATTATTGTTGTTATAATATTATAATATATATATTATAATAAATGTATAATATATTATTATAATATTATTTATATATAAGAATATTATATGTAAGAATATTACAATATTAGATATATTATAGTATTATATATATATAATAATAATATTGTATATATTATTATGATATTATTATATTATAATATTATATTTTATATTATTATTATGTTATATATTATTATTAATAAAATAATAATTATTAATAAATTAATTAGCTAATTAATAATCTTATTGAACTTTATAATAAGGAAATATTTAACTATGTACATGTAATTAGAGGTTATTTATGTCTTTTGGCCAAAATAAGGAAAGTTTCCTATAAGTAGCCCAAAAATAAGTTGGGATTTCGCAACCTTTTTTTTGGCTACGTATAAGTAACAAATAAATAACATAAGTGACTCTTACCAAACACAGTGTTGCCAACCTATAAGTTAAAAGTTACTTATAAATAGAAATAAGTAACGACATGCACTTAAGTTATGGTCAGATGTATAGAATATTTTAGATGCTTCAATTCAATATTATGTATATCTTTATTCATATCCTAATTGATGCTAAATGCATAAATCTATACTTGTCAAATTGTAAATACAAAATTCAAAGAATTCAAATAAAATAAAGAAAGGTACAATTGTGAATAGATTCCTATACTATCACCCAATTGCAAATATACCCTCCGTAGTTCTATTGTTGCATATAGATCGTGAGTAAATTTATATTTACTCTTGCACCCCAAGGAGGTTCATTTGTCAAAAATAATTTTCTTTATCTCTAAGGGTAAAAGTGTCAAAAAAATTCAGTTAGGGGTTTATTTGTAAGAATAGAACTACAAGAATCGATCTGCAATCAGACAATACTAAAGGGTCTAGCCGAAATTAACCAGATTATTTATATCCAATTAGATCCTACAGACCCGGGTTCAATAGCTAACCTGTCATCATCAACCTGCTCTCTCATTCAATATTTTTGACATGTTGCGACCTTTTTGTCTTTCAATTATAAAGGGTGACACTACAGGCACACCACCAACCACACCTTAGGACACATTCCTCTATCAGCTATAGTGCATGGGGTCCACATGAAATTTTTTTAAAAAAATTATGTGGGCCCCGTGCACTGTAGCTGAGAGAGGGGAGTGTGCCTCAAGGTGTGGTTAGTGGTGTGCGTCTACCCTTTCCCAATTATAAAACCCACCACGAAGGGCCAAATGCCAACTCGTTCCTCTCATCCAAAGCCAGCTGGTCCTCATTTCTATCAACACCCAAGATGACAAAAAAGCCCATCCAGCCATCGAGCAAAAACTCTTCAATCCCCCGGAGACCGAAGGGGCAATTTTGTCCTTCCCAAGCAACCATATGATTGGAGAGTTGTTCGCTGCATAGTCCCTCCGACCCTGCGATTGGTAGGTTCTTATGTACCAGTAAAACTTGCATTGTTCAACAAAAACATACTTATACTAAAAGTATTAGTAAAAGCCAAACCTTTCAATATCACGTGAGTCACATTATAATACTTAATTAAAGTTCGCATAAACTCCTTGGAGTCCTACACTCTGTTTATCTTTTTCAAAGGAGATAAAAAAAAAAGCACAGAGCTTCAACAATGGAGGAGGAGAGCTCAAGTTTGATCACAGACCTAAAGCCAACACCACCAAGAGAAGACATAAGAAGAAATGGAGGAGGAAGAGAGGAGGAGGAGGAGGAGGAAGACCGAGATGTCGAATGCAACAATTCCTTAAATGAACCATTGCTCAAGAGAAGCCCGACACTGACTGGGAGCCATCTGGCAATGGTCGGGGCCAAAATCTCCCATATAGAGAGCTTAGACTACGAGTATGTAGCATATGCATCTAACCTTCTCAATGTATTTTCATATAATCTTCGAAGATCTTTGAATGGTTACTGTTCCTCGAGATTTCAGGATAAATGAGAACGACCTCTTCAAGCATGACTGGCGAAGCCGATCCAAGGTCCAAGTTCTTCAGTACGTGTTCTTGAAATGGTCTATGGCTTTCCTTGTTGGGCTCCTCACTGGAGTTATAGCCTCCTTCATCAACCTCGCGATCGAGAACATTGCAGGGTTCAAGATGATGCTTGTGCTTCAGTATGTGCGGAGTGAAAGTTAAGTTTCAACTTGTTCCTCCTCCCTGTTTTAAAAGGAATGAAAATTTAGGCAGCAAAATCAACAATGAAGAAAGAGCATTTATCCTAAATTTTTAGGGTCAGACTATGAATCATATTCTTCCTTTCGTTTCTTTTAGGACTGTCTCCTCGTTTGAATTGCTTCCAACCAAATTTTCTTAGGCCTCTCTCAGGTCCTCTTTGCTACATTAATTATAATGTTATTAGTTTTCCTAATTGGTGCATTATGTGATCTTCGTTGCACGTACCCAAACCATCTAATTGATCCATTTTAAGCAAATTCTTCACATCTTAAGAAGAAGAGAAATTAATGACATTTTTAGGCAAAATCACAAGAACCTTTATCCCAGATTTTTGGTTTGGTCATATGAATCATACGCTTGCATTCAGTTCTTTAGGCTATCTCGAATCAAGTTTTCCTTGCTCCATTAATAATAATAATCTTTTGTTGGATTTTGTGATAATATTCTAGGATAATTGTTTACTATCAAGAGAACGATAAGTTTCAGAGTCTAATATGAGTTTTGGTGGTGCAGGTATTGGACCGGATTCCTTTACTTCATGCTTGCAAATCTTGGTTTGACTGCTTTTGCTTCTTTCCTATGTGTGAGATATGCTCCGACTGCAGCTGGCCCTGGCATACCAGAAATCAAAGCTTACCTTAATGGAGTTGATACTCCGAATATGTTTGGCATGTCAACTTTGATCGTCAAGGTAGGTTCGGATGCAAGAGAAGTTGTCATGTTCAATCGAGAATTCGTATCGGGTTTGCTAGAATTAGATAACGATCGTTATCTGATTCTAGCTTTGCCTTAAAAAACAACAGGGTTTTCTATTTTGGATGAGCTAGAATAAATGATCAGTTGTCAAAAATCCAATTACAAGCTCCTTAGAATTTATTGACATATTCATGAAAAGTTCACTAGTTATATGGACAGAATAGATTGCAAAATGTAGTTTCTTACATGGTCTCATTCAGTCAATTACAGTTATACTTCCCTGCAATATGTTTCACAAGAAAAGATGCCATAATTTGTGTTGATGTTATCATAAATAGTTTCAATTTGAACCGATATAATCTAGAATTTAAGTGGTGACTGTTGTAGAAGCTGATAATAGTGAGAGAATTAAAAGATGTAAACATATATTGAAAATATTGAAGAATATCTGTTCAATTTCTCACAGATCTTTGGCAGCATAGGAGCAGTATCAGCAGGCCTAGACCTCGGCAAAGAAGGCCCCTTAGTCCACATCGGCGCCTGCCTCTCCTCTCTACTATCTCAAGGCGGCAGCGAAAAGTACGGCATCAAATGGAGATGGCTCCGATACTTCAAGAATGACAGGGACCGCCGCGACCTGATCACCTGCGGTGCATCCTCAGGAGTCTGTGCTGCTTTCAGATCACCAGTCGGAGGTGTTCTCTTCTCCCTTGAAGAGGTTGCAACTTGGTGGAGGAGCTCTCTTTTATGGAGGACTTTTTTCAGTACTGCAGTGGTGGTTGTGGTTCTTAGAGGGTTTATGGAGTACTGTAATTCTGGGAAGTGTGGGCTTTTTGGGAGAGGAGGGCTGATTTTGTTCGATGTTAGTGCTGTCACTGTTCGGTATCAGTGGATGGATCTTCCCCCTGTTCTTTTCATCGGCATCATTGGAGGAGTATTGGGGAGCCTGTATAACTACCTTCTGTATAAGGTTCTTCGAGTCTACAGTCTTATCAATGAGTAAGATCGCAATCAAACACTTGGCTTTCTTCATCATCGTCAAAAGATACCATTAGTTCCCTTGAAAGCTCATGAAAACCAGTCTCACAAAACTCATTGAATCTCTGCTGTCATAAAACCCTTCGCACATTTTACAGGAAGCCACAATTAATCCACAAACTAGAGTCTAGTGGGAAAAGTTAACCTATCAAAGTTCATATTGCTGTCTTCACCGAAATAGAAATCTGAAGCACCAGAATTGGCGAGATACCGGCTCAGAACTCTCATCCCGTGCATATGCTATTGGTGCACAAATACCTTTTTACTGATATAGGAGACACAATTGGTACTCATGCACAAGAGCCTAGATGATAAATACAACACAGTATCAGGAATGTCAATCAACTCCTGGTCGCAAGACAAAATAAAGAACCAATTTTGCAACACATTCAAAGTAACATTTCTTTTACATGAATCATCTTGTTGACTGAACATCAATTCTCTGGAAATTATCATCGATATTTTGCACCAGCATCAATGGTTTTTGTTGATTGACAGGTTCACTGAGTCTGCTCTGGTTGTGTTTTGCAGGAAAGGCCGTCTTCCCAAATTCCTCCTCAGTCTATCAGTTTCCCTCTTCACCTCCATTTTTCTCTACTTCCTCCCATTCCTTGCCTCCTGTTCACCCTGCGACCCCTCCATCGACGCAGCCTGCCCAACTGTTGGCCGAACCGGTAACTTCAAGCAGTTCAACTGCCCTGACGGATACTACAATGACCTCGCCAGTCTCCTTCATGCCACCAATGATGATGCAGTCCGCAACGTCTTCTCAACCTCCACCCCTACAGAGTTCCGTGCTGTCTCCCTCCTCATCTTCTTTGCTATCTACTGTGTTCTCGGCCTGATCACCTTCGGCATTGCCGTCCCTTCCGGCCTTTTCCTCCCCATAATCCTCATGGGGTCTGCTTATGGACGACTTCTTGCCCTCTACATGGGATCCTACACCGGAATCGACCAGGGTCTTTATGCTGTTCTTGGTGCTGCCGCCCTTATGGCTGGATCTATGAGGATGACTGTTTCAGTATGTGTCATCTTTTTAGAGCTCACAAACAACCTCTTACTCCTTCCTATTACTATGCTAGTACTACTAATTGCCAAGACTGTTGGTGATGCTTTCAATCCAAGCATATACGAGATCATACTCGAGATGAAGGGACTCCCTTTCTTGGAAGCTAAACCGGAGCCCTGGATGAGAAACCTCACTGTAGGTGACCTTGCATCGGCTAAACCTAGTGTTGTTGGTCTCCAAGGCATTGAAAAGGTAAGGCGGGTTGTTGATGTGTTAAGGACCACTAGTCATAATGGATTCCCGGTTGTGGATCAAGGGATGCCATCAGAACTTCATGGTGTGGTGCTAAGAGCACACTTGATTTCAGTGCTGAGAAAGAAGTGGTTTTTGACACAGAGAAGGAAAACAGAAGCATGGGAGGTGAGAGAGAAGTTTACATCGATTGATTTGGCGGAGAAAGGGCAGAAATTTGAGGATATCAAGATAACAGAAGAGGAGATGGAGATGTACATAGATCTGCACCCTTTTACCAATACAACACCATATACAGTGGTGGAGACAATGTCGGTGGCCAAGGCAGTCGTGCTCTTCAGACAAGTTGCTCTACGACACTTGCTGATTGTTCCAAAGTACCAAGGATCTGGGGTAAGTCTTTATTGTGTTCGAATAGTAAAAGGTTTATCGAGTTTACATTCCACATACAGTATATCTGCTTGCAAGTATAACTGCAAGCAGATATACGTGCTAAACATGAAGTATCCAGTTATATGCACAAATGTACATACACATAACCTGTCAGGGTAGACTAGATTGTTACTGACCAAACAGTCAACCACACATAAGATTTAAATATAGAAACTGGATTATCAAATGCTTGGAAAGCTGTTATATGTGAGAAAACTGAATGATCACGCTACCTGATTAAGTACATATGCACACTTTCGAAAAATGCTAGTGAAATTGAGACAGAGCTCTAGTCACTTGCTGCTCAAAGACATTAATTTTTGTACACTCGGTTCATAAAAATGAACATCAGATAGAGTTAACCTAGCTAGCACAGACACAGGTGCGGACGAGGACACGGACACATGTACGGACCTAGGATGCAGAGAATTTGTAAAATGTAGGATACGGAAACAATGCATGTATATAATTTACATAGATCAAATATTGAATTAAAATACCTACGACATTTGTATGTTTCTTTCTATTATACATAACAATTAAGACTCAAGTTAAATCAAACTAAGAATAAGGTTTAACAACGAAAGTTTAGTTTTGATCGGATGGATAATACAATGGGCATTTTTTAAATATTTAAGCAACAAGTGCCAGTTTCTGGGTTCAAAAACCAATTGGTTTTGAACCTATTATTACCACACAAAAAAAGTTAAAAAAAGTTTAGGGTGAAAGTAATGGGGAAATCGGGTTTTACTTTGAACCACACGTGTCCGTGTCATGTCTAGTGAGAATCCGTGTCCAACAAGTGTTGGACACAGATGTAGTAGCACCCAAAACACGGTCTCCAAGTAACCTAGGAGTTAATGTTCTTTGTCTGGGAATTACTTCTTTCATAGGTCATGATAATTTGTACAAAAATTTCAATTTAAATGTCTGGACACAAGCATTATACTGAAATGCATTGAAATTGAGGTGTGGTATCAGGACACAGGCAAAAACATTCAAAGGAATATCATACCTAAAAACTAAGAAAATCAGACACCTTTCAACACTAATTCAACAAACCAAATCAATTAACATACTTAATTTCTTTGGAGTACTCTGACTGAAATGATGGTTTTAATATTGCAGATAGCACCTGTGGTTGGGATACTGACACGACAGGATCTCATGGCTCACAACATTTTGAGTGCCTTCCCCCATTTGGAAAAGAGGAGAACAGAAAAGTGATATCAAAACCCAATTATATACAGGATCACATTTCGACTTATGAAGCATCATAATTGTTATATTCCTCCAGTATTTTTTCGGTCGTCATCATTATACTATTCTTTTGCCTTGAAGAGTAATTGAATTATACCTACAGGCTATGTAATCAAGAGGGACTGCACATTAAAGTTTTATTGACATGAAATGCTCTTTCCTACTGTATTGATACCCTCAATTGCATCCTTTTCACTTTTCTGGCTTGGTTAGATTACTGTTTTACCGTAATGATTGAAGAGGCCAAGGAGCTAAAGTGAGCCGTAGAAATATAAATAATTTAGTTTTATCTCAGAAGCGTTTCAAGAAACTTCTAAGAGTTTGATGTTTATTAAAAGTTTAGAGCTTATGCAACAAGGAAAAATAGCTTAGAAGAGGAATGCAATCTTATTGACATCTTTGTACGAAAAGAACATTAACTATTGCAACACCTCATTGAAAAAAATAGCTTAGAAGCGGAATGCATAGTAGTGTTAGTTATTAATAAATCATAAAGAAAGATAGCTGCAGATGAAAATATTCCACAATAAAACAAAACTGAATTTAGGTTAAATCAGAGAATACATGTAGTCTAGCTGCGCACAAATAACTCAAAGCATGCCTATATTTTATAGCAAACTTGAGCAAAGCAATAGCTGTAAACAGAAAGTTAAAAAGAAAAGGAGAAGAGTTTTTTATTCTTTGTTGCGCGTTTCTAATTCTATGGACTAAAATCAGGATTTCTTTATGAATTTCTTTATGAATCTGACTCCAGAGTAATTGGAACCCATAAGGGTTCAGTGAATAGAAGAATAAGGCTTAATATATAAATAGCATATATTTGCAGATATCTCACAGTTAAAATCCATGTATAAAGAAAGGTTCCCATCATTCTTCAAATCGAAATCAAAGCAGATTTTCGCGGACTTTTCAGATTTGGCTGTCATGTTCTCCAAGTCAATGACTTGGATAGGGGACCGATTCCACCACGAAATACATGATATAACATAATGTACACATTCAGCTATTGGGTATTAAGATCTTAGATGTAGAAGCATAATCTTTTATATGATATTTGTAAAAGGAGGAATAACTATAGAAGCAATTGAAATTGCTGATCGGAATAACTAAGGGAAATATATGAAACCTTGTGCACTGAATATACAAGATGTCCTATATTATGTATCATGATGATGTTGTACTGGATCCACATGTTCTCATTTCTTTAGAATTGTTAGTATGGACATCACATTCCATGGGAATTCATTTTATTTTTAGGAAGCATACAAGAATAGACATACTAATACTAAAAGCGCAATCTCACGGTTAAACTTAAAAGGGTCTTTCCTACTGTATTGATACCCTTATTGCATCAGCTTACATTCTTTGTGTTTTCCCTCTTCTCGCTTGGTTACACTTCTGTTTTCCTGTGACCATCTAAGAGGCAAAGGAGCAATAATAAGCCGTAACATTAGAAGTAATTTAGTTATACCAGAAGCGTTTCAAGAAACTTCTAACAGTTTTATGCCTATTAAAAGTTTGTACCTTATGCAGCAAGGAAAGAAGTCAATTTTTAATCATTAACAATGATTAAGATCAATAATCATCATTTTCCACACACAAAAGAACCTAAAGTTCTTAATGAAGAGAACCTAAAAGGCACCCAACTAAATTATTGGTTTCACTCTGTATCAGGAGAACGCTGTTATCAGATGAGACATGCACTTCTTATTTCACTTGTTTGTTGTACTAAAAGAGCATTATATATTGCAACATTTCATTACAAAATAAAATAGCCTAGAAGCCGAATGAACTGTAGCATTAGTTATTAGCAAATCATATAGAAAATTGCAGATGCAATTGTTCCACAATAAAACAAAATTGAATTTAGGTTAGTCATGTAGCTGTGCACGGATAGTTCAAAGGATCTCACGATCTTTATAGTAAACTTCAGCAAAGCAATAGTTGTATACAGGGGGAAAAAGAAAAAAAAAATTTGTGCCATCCTTCTAAGAAATGTGGATTCTTTTTGAGTAAAATCAGGATTTCTTTAAAGAACTGATCTAGGATGATTGGAAGCCATACAGGTTTATCCGAATAGAAGAACTAGGCTTATAATATGTAAACTGCAAAGAACGAAGACATCTTACAGTAGAAATCCATGTATAAAAGAAAGGTTTCCATCATTCTTCAAATCTAAATCAAGGCAGATTTTACCAGACTTACCGGCATTTGTCTGAGATATACCCTCATGTCAATGACTAGGCTAGGGGAGAGATGTCACTATGAGATACATGATATAATATAAAGACTAGTATACTCTCACTCCTCAATAATTGGGACATGGAAGTCATGTAGGCACCTAGAAGATATCAAAATATACCAGACTGTACTGAAGTCTAGGTAAGTGCAACTTCATATTCAGTATCAGCTACTGCTTGCAAAAATTTTCATCAAGAGAAAAAAAAATTAGTGTAGGAAAGGACAAGGTTTGTTTTAGAATCATATGTTGAGTGACTGAGGAACCTTGCGATGGAAAATCAAAGAAATTTTGTGGTCCAAAATGGCATGTCCAGATTCCTACATATGTTATGGCCAATGATCAGACGGTTACCTCTTGTCCAGGATTTCCTTTTCTACTACCGTCATGCTCCTCCTTATTTTCCTTGTTTACGACTTTATTCCTCTTTGTCTGACTCCCCTTTGTCCAGGAATCGCCTTATTTGGCCTTTGTCTTCCATTTTATCTTTAGTTACAACTTATAAAAGAACTAGAGTTTTGGTTTGAGAGGGTTTGGGATTATTATTTTTATTTGAAATCATTATGTTTAAGTTTTAACCGATATAGCTTCTACAGGAAATGGAATTATAATTAGAAAACTAGGCTATTTGATGTTCACAAGAAAATTGTGATATTATTGATTGATTGACTGATTTGAGAATCAAGTTCCCCACTTTACCCTTGTGGCTCTCTTCTTCTTTCTCATAGTTCTCTTCCTGTACAAGGCATCCTTCTTTGCTATGGTATTAGCAAAGGTAGAATCTTCAAAAAAAAAAATGCAACGCATGATTAAAAAAATGTTCATGCACTGAGAGACTAATTGGGTAAGAATGTCGGACCTGCAGTTCAAACATAAATATTCACCAAAAACAAAAAAGTGATTTCACATTGATCATAAGAAAATTATTTGACAGAGATATACTGATATACCCATCACAAATGATGATAATGAAGACCCTGCTGATGTTAAACACGTAATTCATGTTAGAAATTTATCAAAATAAATTAAGATTATATCTTGAAATAAATCCGAAATCAAAATAAATGAGAGATAAGAAAATCAGGCCTGACGGGAGCAGTCGTGTATTCACTGCCCTAGAAGATTGAGACCCGCCTATCGCCCTGGCGCAGATGGTTCCCTCCCCCTAGCGGTAAAAACCCCCGGAAACGACCGACCTCTACACTCGGGCGAGAGTGCAGAGCTTCAGCTCAGATGAAGGAAATTGCCCATAAAATAAAACTAAAATGTAGATGAAAATAATATGTAGGGGAGAGAAGAAAAACAAGAGAAACTTGTTGTATATTTTTCCTTTTCTTCTTATTATTTTGAGCTCAACATACGGATATATATATAGGGTTGGAAAAGACGTTACAAAACCCGTAATTAATTCCGTAACGTTCGTCATAAATTTTGTAACGTTCGTCATAATGTATAGTCATTATGCCCATTTTAATTACAAATTAAAACACATTAAAACATATTTTAATTACAAAAATTTATTAGAATTCATTAAGGCAAAATTGCCTTTTCTTTAAAAATATCCAACAGTCCCCCCCAAAAGGCAATATTGACTGAAAACTTAAAAATCAATAAATAAATTAATAAATCACAAAATGAAAATAGGTTGGACAACCTTTCGTATCGTGAATTCGGGAGAGGTAGCTTCCGGCTTTGAACCTTTCATTAGTGAGTTCATCGCCACCTGAGGGACATAATGGAATAGGCCTTGAATTAAGCCCCTTTAATCAGGTATTGATGAAAACACACACAATACGCTTCATCTATTGAGCAAAGCGGGTTGAGCGTTAAAGGCCATGCTCACAATAAACCGACTCATGAGAGTTTCTAGGGGTTAGCCCAGCCCCCCCTAACCGCGGCCATCACGGTTCCTCTCACGTAGGTAAGTCCTCAAAGGGTACTACAGCTGTTTATTTAATCCCCCCCACAATACACGCGTTGGACTTATTAAGAGTAAAACTCAGCCTAGCCAGCTGTATCATAAGAGCATCGTCATCATAGAGAAGGGGTAGTAGCAAATGCTACATAATGATATATAAATATATCTAGGTCGATGCTCCACACGAGTGTCACTAGTCCAGCTTGTTTCTACCACATTGAACCGACATTGGGACTACGTCTCCAAATAAGGGTTGGGTTGCCGCTGTCAGTGACCTCATCTATGGGCTTAACCCCATCTCCCTCGATGAATCCAAGACCACACTCCTGGATAATCCCTTAGTCAAAGGGTCATCAAGATTCTTTTCACAGACTTTATAAAGTCTAAAATCACAACTTTGCCTAGCAGACGTTGTGTTTATTTATCAAGTTCTTATTTTGTAATTAGTCCATCATATTGTTTGAAATTGACATTAGGTCATGGTCTATGATCATAAAAGATCATAGTCTATATCTGAAGAGATTGACCTTAATATCTGAACATTTCAAACTAATGTGGAACTAAAAATTCTGCAGTTATGCATATGCACATACATGAATGAAATTAATAATAGATACATGCAGAGCATAATAGGATTTCGTATCTTAAAATATATTTTCGTATCTTAAAATATATTTCATACTTCATAATTCAAATGCATAAAATTTTTAAAATTCTTCTATTATAAGAGGTTACAAATTGGTTGCCTACAAAGGAGACCGTCCAAATTTAAATCGGTTGCCTACAAATGAGACCTTCCAAATTTAAATTGGTTGTCTACAAAAGAGATCTTCCAAATTTATGTTGCCATTTTCTAGTACCACATCTTATACAAATAATAATAATAATAATAATAATAATAATAATAATAATAATAATAATAATAATAATAATAATAATAATAATAATAATAATAATAATAATAATCATTCTTGCATAAAACCTTGCAATTAATCATGTAACAAATGCAAG